TAGATGCAAGTGACAAGTCTTGGTAGCTTAGTAACCTTTGGATGACATGAACACAACCCAGGGCCATGGAGAGCAAGCTCCACTTGCAGAGGAGGAACAACAGTGTTTGAGAATGCCTAGAAGAAACGTAGGCTCCTGCAGTTGCTAAATGGAGAAGAGCTGGGAGGGATATTCCCTTCAGACCTCACAGGTGGATAGGTCCGGTTTCTCACCCTACAGCTAGTCTCCCTTACTAAGCTGCTGTTGTTGATCTGACTTTTGCAGTCGTCCACCTCCCACCACTTCTGGTGTGGCAGAAGGAAGAGTACAAGCCCTGTAGAAATAGTGCAGCTGTTAGTAGGTTGGGCCTTCTATTCTTCTTCACCCCTTTAAGGAGCAGGAAACATCAAGGCCAGTGTGTTGTGCATCTTTGATGTGGAGGACATGCAACTTCAAAAACAAGCAAATCAGCAGCTACTGGTTTGTTTCAAGATGTTTTACATCTTCCGCATGTAACATTACAACTTCATATAAGTCCAGATGTTGCTGTTTATTTACCAAAAGTCTGAGTACAGTTAAACTTTTTAAAAAATATTTTGTGGGTTGTTTAGACTTTATGAATGAATCTTCTGCATTAAAAAGGCACAACAACAGATTGCTGCGTAAACACCCAAACAAACTCATTTTGTAGATCTCCTAGGATGCTGAGCTCCCAACTTTACAGGCACAAACCCAAAATCTTTTAAGAGCCTTACCTCAGAGAGACCTAAAGGCTGGAGGAGCTTGTGTTTAAGAACTGGTGCCTGCTCCCCAGGGTGCAGCACCACGGTGCAGGGCAGAGCAGGCTTGGCATGGGGCAGACCCGGGTGTAGAGCCAGATCCCACCACAGCCCTCTTGGGAGCCGCTGCCAGGTTGTTCCCTTCCAGGGAGGTTAGGCATTTGGGCTGCACCATGATGGGGCTTTTATCCAGGGGCTCACTCACACCTGAACTGTTCTGGAGGCATGTTTGGCTGCTCCCAATTTGGCATATCCTGGGTTATGCATCTGTTAAGCCTTTGCTGAAGCAGGACTGTGGAGATGCTTCCAAAATGCTGCTGTTAAATTTAAAATGTGGAGAGGAATGTTTTGATAAGATGTACTGGTTTGACATTTGTGTTGCTGGGCATCATTGTTATCTTCTGTGAAGTCTCATGCCCGAGCCCGGTGGTAGAGTTTTGTACTGGAAAACTGACAGTTTGCTTGGTGTTTTATTTCCTGTTATTTCAGGTCTGGTTTTAGGGTCTTTTGCCCCTCTGCCTGGGGACTCCATTCATTTCTAGCTGTCGCCTAATCTTTCACCGTCTTCTGTCTTATCAACCTCAGCTGTCTCTTTCCTTACTTATTTCAAACTTCTGTCATCTTTGGATGATGCAATTGAGCAGAATTTATAACCTGGAGGCAGGAAGCTGCACCAGGGTTTGGGGTAGAAAAGGGAGAGTGGGAAAAGGCTGCAGTTGGCCAGAGATCATAACCAGAAAATCTGAGGGGAGGCTGTGGAGAGGGAAAAAAAAGGCAAGGCAAAAATGGATGAATATTTCCCTTCTGATCACAATATTTCGTACCCTGCCTGTGTTTCTTGGAGTAATACATGGCACAATCCTGTTATCTCTAGGCACTGTGTGACTAATTGTGAGTAGTGTTTGTGATTAGAACAGTTGTTTAATTTCTTGGTACTGCTAGATAAAGAACCTTTTTGCCTAGAATGAATGCTGCCACACCCTCACATGAGGAAGCTGGAATGGGAAGACTTTACCATATTGCTTCCCTAGCTAAGTGGTCCAGCTAAGATAGCTTTCAGTAACGTATTTGGTCTATAATAGAAATTTGCATAAATTATTCATAACGAGTTGTGATGTTATCAGTTAAGCCACACATTTAAAGCTGTCAGCCTTTTTAATGAAGGGATCTTGGAGAGCTGTTTTTAACCAGCTAGTTAACAAGGAAGGAGACTTGTTTTTAATTCTCAGTTCAAGGTAGCAGAAATCCAGAGCAGTCATTTTGATTTAGTATAATTTTTACGTGGGTCACTTGTACTCAACAACGCATTGTTGTCTAAGTGTTGTGTTTTATTTCATAATCTTATGATACAATGTCAAAACTGAGACACTGTCTGTCAAAATGCTGGGAACCCCCCGAAACCTTGTTTGAAAACTGTCTCTCTTAAATGTGTGAATCAAATTGTGGTGATGTAGGTAAACTTCTAGGGATCAAAGTTTTGGTTGTTCAAAGGTTAGCATTCAAGTTAAAGCCTCAGCTGGCAAATTTCCATTCCCTTGTCCTTTATTGATCCATGCAGATTTTACTGACAAATCTGTGTGCTTGTCAATGACTAAAATGGCATGTTGTTTCTATGGCTAGCATTCTCTGCAGATTACATGGGAAATAGCATGACAACACCACCTGCTTTGTTTAATCAGTTAATTTCTTTCTTTAAGGAGAACTTACTATTAGCAGAAGACTGCAGCAGTGATTGTGTTACTGCTTGCTGTCTGAGCCATGATAACTCCACGTTTACCTTCTAGCCTGCTGAAAGAGTGAAATAAAAACTGTTTAACTACCGTGTCTGCAACTGTGACTTAACTGGAAAGTAGTAGCTTAAATACGTAAGATTTTCCTTTTCATTCTTAGTCTTACAAGCTAAATTGTATTTATCTTGAATGCAACAATAACTTTACACTTAGGATAGTCTGCGCATTACTTCTAAAGCCTGTATACGCTGTCTCAGGGTCTTTTGGCACAGGGAACCTCTACTGCTTTTGAAGCATGGAGAAGTACAGTTAAGTCTGAACTTACTTGGTAGGTAGGAATGCAATAACTTGATTAAGAGCATGTAGATGGAAACATTTCTATCTTTAATGTGTTGGTTAAATCTTAGTATAGGGTCATGAGTGAGTCTGGATGTTACCTTTTCTCCTGGGAATGGTATAGTCTGGGGGTACCCGTATTCCCAGTACCTGCCAGAAACAAGCAGCAAAGTTCCCGGCATTTGTGCAGAATGTAGCTTTAAAAATTGCATTAAAAGAAAGTAATTACTAGGCTTACTCGTCGAGCCTCATCATTTTAGTTGCATATCTTTGTTTTGATGGGTACATATCACAAAACTATCGAAATTTGTCTTGTTCCCCGGTAACACTGCCCACTGAGCCAAAAATTAAGTCACAACATTGACATACATTTTTAATGTTCAACAGCTAGAGTGTTTCAACAAGGAATCTGGTGCTATTCTTATATTTAATGTTTTCATATTAGTTAAAAATAGTTCAGTGAGAAAGTAGGGCTTTCAAGTTAAGTTAATCGCTTGCTTTTTTGGAGTACGTATCTTACACAGTGGGAAATTTTTCTAAACGGAATGAGTTTAAGCAATTGCATTGAGATGTTTCTCCTGGGCCAGTTTCCACTGTTTGAGTAATGAGAGTTTAGTTAGTCATTATGCTGTAACTTATGGAGTGATCTTATCTTTATACCGTAAGCTTTCCAGATCCTGCATAGGGCAGAGTTTCCCTAATGTGAGGGATCTGCTCTCATCTGCTGCCCACGGCATACTGGAATGCTGGAATTGCGCAAACTCTCCTCTCTTCCCCTGCACATCCGTGTGAAATATGACTCTTGTTCCAGTGCAATGTGAATTTCCATTTGAACCCCATCCTGACTTGCCCAAAGCAAACACAGTTCTGAAAACCACTCTGTATGTATTCGTTTTTGGAAATCAGCTGTGGATATTACACACCCCTTATCAGAACTGAAATAATTTTCTTGTTGCTAGAATACACACAGCACTGACATACCAAGGCCGCTCTTCAAAAGAAAATCTCTAGAAGGGCAGGCTAAAGGATAATTGTATTGATTTTGCTCTAACAGTTTTGGCATGATACTACTTGTTGCATTGTTACCTTTGTTTCTTTGACTTAGGTGCTTTGTATTAGGAGACAAGCAATGCCTAATGCAAGGCACACTGTCACTACAAGCCTGATTTTGCTCTCCATCGCTAGCCCTAAATGTAGCCCGTACTCTGTTTTGAAACCTGTAGGATATAGCTGTCAGCAAGGTAGAAGACTTTCTACAAGGTGTAACGTGAGCTGGATGAACACATCCTGAAAATAGCAGGATAAGAACTAGGAACTTTCTTCCTCTTTGTAGCATGCTATTGCGAGAGATGAATTATTATATTGGACTAGTAGTTGGAATAAAAGTTCAAATGTAGCCTGTACTCTGTTTTGAAACCTGTAGGATATAGCTGTCAGCAAGGTAGAAGACTTTCTACAAGGTGTAACGTGAGCTGGATGAACACATCCTGAAAATAGCAGGATAAGAACTAGGAACTTTCTTCCTCTTTGTAGCATGCTATTGCGAGAGATGAATTATTATATTGGACTAGTAGTTGGAATAAAAGTTGGTTTAAACTGAGTCAAAGAACCAACCTTTTGCCAAGAATGGTATTTCTGACAACCTCAGAGCAAAGTGTCAAAAAAAATCTGCTGCGAGTTTAAGCTGTGCAGGGAAGAAAAGTTTTATGTCCTGCATTGCAGAGCCTGTGTTCTTAAATTGTGGTCTAGCTGAAGGGGGACATCTTACTGGGGAAGTGAGTTAGGTGGCTCATAAGGCGACACCCCCCCCTCCTCCTGCAAGGCAAGAGGAGGGTGGTAAGTGGCATAACTGTCCTGACTTCTTCCTTACTATTGAGTAAGTTCCCTCTACCTGGAAGAGCAGAGACATTTTTTTTTCATCTGAATGAAGCTGATTGTGACTAGTGTCACAAAGTCTATAGAACTCAAGAGAAGAGGTTATTATAGTAACAAACTGGGTTGCTTGTATTGTAACAGATCAGGGTATTGTAGGCTCATTTTGCAAATGTTCTTTGGTGTCATAAATCATATAGACAAGTGTGGGTATTGTTGCCAAATTTTAAGTTTTGAAAGGTTTTAGGAGAAAGCAATTTCCTTCCAAATATCTGACTGCTGTTTTGTTTGTTTGTTTTTACAGATCCAACCCTATGAGAAGATAAAGGCCAGAGGACTGCCCGATAACATTGCTTCTGTCTTGAACAAGCTGGTGGTTGTGAAACTAAATGGCGGCTTGGGCACAAGCATGGGTTGTAAAGGCCCAAAAAGTCTTATTGGGGTGCGGAATGAGAACACCTTCTTGGATCTGACAGTTCAGCAGATTGAGGTAACTTTTGATGGGCTTTTCTTTCTATGTTGAAGGAAGCAAGACACATTGAGCTTCTCCTGTATGACCCTTTAAGAGAGGTCAGAGTGGAGGCTTGCCAAAAGGAAGAGGAGAAGGAAGTGAGGTCTGGTCACAGTGCTAGTGGTGAAGTGGAGAATTGCTTTGAAAGAATAGGCATGAAAGTGACGGAGCAATCGGCAGTTGAACTCTGTCCACACGTTAGCACAAGTGTAATTCAGCGTGTGCACACCAACCCGGACAGTGGTGATTGTGTCCAGAAACACAAGCAATCAAATTGTAGAGCTGGCCTGGCGTGGCTAACTCCTGGGCTTGTTTCAGACTCCTTCAGGTGCAAGTTTAAGTTCAGCTTTTTAAAACCTTTTTTTATGTGCATTAGAATAAAGCTCTTCACAGCAGCTCCAAGTTCCTTGTCGAATTAAAACTCTCATGCTGGAAGTGATTGCTGGCATTTTCCTTTGAAGAAAGAAAAGTAAAAGAAAATAACAGCTGCTGGTGTTGAGAGAGGACGTTTTGGCTTATGTTTTTAATGCAGAATATTCCTCTTACAGCAGATAATTAAGCTGGTCATTAGAGTAGGAAATTGGGTGTGCCTGTTCCATAGTTTCTGGAGCTCCAACAATTTTTGCCTCAGTGTGGTGTTTGTGTGGAGTGACTCTCCCATGTATGTTAGTTCTATAGCAGACTTAAATTTATATCCAACTAATGCAGTCCTAATCCTTTGGTGTTGCAGGCGCTTTCTCAAAAGGGTCATTGTGGAAGTCTCTGATTCCACCAGAGAGTAATGATCCCAAACACTCCCCAGCAGATGAGGGCAATCTGATACACAAAGCTTAAAACTCACTGAAGTATCTTTTTTTTCCTGCACACTCTGTTTTTGAGGGAATGCTGTCATGTTTTCTGATTTTTGCCTTTGCTGTGCTTGTGCACATGGAAATGCTCTTGTGTATTTCAGCTCTATTCTGTAGATTCCCAAAAAATTAATACTGTGATGTTTCATTCATTATGTACTCTTGATACTAGTGTCCATCTCATAGTCTGCCAAGAAGGCTCAAAAGTGCTCACTGTGCAGAGGAGGTTTTGAAACTTCACCCTGACAGACCTTAATAATTTGAGGGAAAACACGCTTTTTGTAATCAACAGTAGGCTAAAATTTAAAATAATCATTTTGTGGTGTCGTGCTTTTCAAATTTTAAATCTCAATGCAAATTTAAAAACAAAGACTAGTTATACGTTAATTAATGTGGGCCTTATCTTTACTACTTACAAGGATTTGTTTTCCTTTACCTGATTTATTATCCTTTCTGTCAGCTTAAGCACATCTCTTTTTTTAATCTCATGCATTTATTATTTTCAGTCTGTTTTATCAAATTTCTTTCTCCCAAAATCTTAGGTGTCAGGAGCTAAAGCTAGTAATACATGCTGAATTTATGATTTCTTTCCCATCTCAGCATTTAAACAAATCCTACAACACTGATGTTCCTCTTGTTCTCATGAATTCCTTCAACACTGATGATGACACAAAGAAAATTTTGCAGAAATACAGTCACAGCCGTGTGAAGATATATACTTTTAATCAAAGCAGGTATCAAAAAAACCTTCTCCACTTGGGGTGAAAGGAAAAACTAGCTTGCATTTCTCCATATTCCAAATGGTGTGGATTTTTAGCTTGAGATGCTGAGGTAGCAATAGTGTCCTCTGTACCCATGTTCAGTCTCTATTTTGGGCCTCTTTGAAAGTCTGAAACATCAGGGTGTTAAGCAGAGTCAAAGGCAATGTATTAAAATTAGGGAGAGGGGTGTGTGGGGGACATAGTTTCTAAGAAGTGCATGAATAATGGCGTCCTGGATGCTGGCCACTTGATTCCTGAATTTGCTTTTAGTGTACCTGGGCTCTGGAGGGAGACAGAACATGGCTTCCTTATCAAGAACGAACTCTAATCTAAAGTGGCTGATGATGTCAGAGGCGTGCTTGGCATGCTCTAAACCTGCGTGTCAGAGGAAAGCTGTTTTACAGCATGGTCGGAGAACTGTGGCTTTAAATTCTTGAATGAGAGATTGCATTCTGCAGCTTCTCAGTGATAGCTCAGTGTTTGGATGGGTCTTTCAATTCAGAGTACTTACACTAACCTAGAAAGCCTATCTTCAAAAGCTGTATGAACAAGCCCATGTAGTTGCACCTTTACTATTGTATTTTGTTTTTCTTGATGCTAGTCCGACATTGGTGAGAACTTAACCCACTGTCTTCCCAGGTATCCTAGAATTAACAAGGAAACTCTGCTGCCAATAGCCAAGGATGTGTCTTACTCAGGAGAGAATACGGAGTGCTGGTATCCCCCGGGCCATGGAGATATCTACGCCAGTTTTTATAACTCTGGTCTGCTGGACAACCTTATCGGAGAGGGGAAAGAATATATTTTTGTATCCAACATAGATAACTTGGGTGCCACTGTGGACCTTTACATTCTTAATCATCTTATGAACCCACCCAATGGAAAACGCTGTGAATTTGTCATGGAAGTCACAAACAAAACCAGGGCGGATGTGAAGGTAAAGGGAAATAGTTGTGCATGTCTGTCCGAAAGCCTGGCATGCTGGTGAAAAGCTCAGTCTCTTGTCTCTTCTGTATGCATGAATTCAGACATATACATTAAATCTTCTTATAGCTATTTCAGGCACCATTTAACACATCAGCTGTGATCTAATTTGAGATGCACAAAATCAGCAAGTTTATGAAGTTCTAATTCATGGAACAAATTGGATCTAGGTTCTGGGCAACAGCAGACAAGGACAGCCTGGACTTGACTGATTACTGAAAACACAAGTGCTTCCTGCAGGGTGCAGGTCACAACCTCCATACCTTCTCCAGACTGTCACTTACACAGGGGAGAAGTTTGGGGATGGTAAAAGTAGAGCACTGAGGGGTGGGATACAGCAGTTGTATCTCTACTGACTGAAAACTGCCGAAGCTGCTTCCCCAGCTGTCAGGGTGTGCACTGCACAACTCAGCTTGGCGTGGCTGCCAGCCTGCTCCTGCCGCTTGACTTTGTACAAAGTTCAGGTCTGACGACGTGTTAGATGTTTATGGCAAATACTTCTAGCATGCAGTAATTTACCCCGTAACTGTACTTCGCCTCTATTCTTTTAAATACGAGGATGGGGAGGAAACGTGATTTTCTCTGTATTCATTAGATACTAAGAAAGCTCTGATTTAGTCCTATAAAACCACAGAAATGCACTGTAAGAACACAGTTCAGGTTACTGAAGTACCACTTGTTTCTCCAGTAAGTGCCACAAATACAGAACTGTTAGATTTAATTTAGACTTTGCTCTGTAATCTAGCAAAGTACTGCTGAAGGTGATTTTTGACAACAGCAGCACTTGCAAAAGATTCTCAGCAACTTTCATTACAAGAATTAACTGTCTTGGAGTGCTGAAACATGATCGTTTGACAGTTCTGACTGTACTTTAAACATACTCTATAATTAGCAGCCTGGTAGCTGAACACAAGCAACATGTTGTCACTGAGGTTCAACTTTAAATGCCAACAAAACAGTGTGTCTGTTTGGGGTGAGGGGAGGGTTTCTCTGGCATCTCATGAACAGGACTTAAAACTTCTTCTTTGACCCTTGCAGGGTGGCACGCTTACGCAATATGAAAACAAGCTGAGGCTGGTGGAGATAGCTCAGGTCCCAAAAGCACACGTGGATGAATTCAAGTCCGTGTCAAAATTCAAAATATTCAATACCAACAATCTGTGGATTGCTCTGTCTGCGATTAAAAGGCTGCAAGAGAAAAACACTATTGACATGGAGATCATTGTTAACCCAAAGGTAATCAGCTAGGGAGGTTTTAGAGGAAAAAGGACTCAAAAGAACTGTTCGTTTCTAGGTAACTAAATGGACTGCTGCCTTCAAAAAGGAGCCAGTCTGTCGGTAAATGCAGAGCTCTGACTTACGCTCGTCTCTACTTCTGAGTGCTGTTACCTGCTGGTCGGTTTACGTGAGTTTTCTCTTCCAGACTCTGGATGGAGGCTTGAACGTTATCCAGTTGGAGACTGCAGTTGGTGCTGCTATTAAGAGTTTTGAGAACTCTCTGGGTATAAACGTACCTCGTAGTCGTTTTCTGCCTGTTAAGACCACGTCAGATCTCTTGCTTGTGATGTCTAATTTGTATAGCCTTAATGCTGGATCTCTAACAATGAGCGAGAAGCGTGAATTTCCAACAGTGCCTCTTGTCAAACTGGGAAGTTCTTTCACAAAGGTAAACTCCTATAATTATACTTTGTTTTTATCTCTTTGAATAAAAATACAGTCCATAGCAATAAATAAGTTAAAAGTGAGGTTTACTTTACCCACCTCTGCCCATCCGGGCATTCCCTTTTGCTCTTTGTAAAGAATTGTTAGGCTGTTAGAATACAAACTACTTAACATGTGAGCATAACGTCATGCTGCTGTTCAGTGCTCCTTTACCTTGTCAGCCGAGGAAACAGAAAGGTGAATTGGGTTGTGTGTGTTCTCCGGAGTTTGTCCAACATACTGCCCTCACTGCTTCTCACAGTTACCTCCGACAAATGACAACACTGTGTTGCTTTCAAAGTAGCAACTTTTATTACATCAGATGTAGATTCCAGAAAGATCCCTGAAAGGAGTTTTCAGGAAGCTCCCACACTCGTCTTAATCCACAGATGGATTTAAACTGTCTCTATTCTTTCCTCCCTCCAAAAGGTTCAAGATTACCTGCGGAGGTTTGAAAGTATTCCAGATATGCTGGAGCTGGATCATCTCACGGTTTCAGGTGATGTTACATTTGGGAAGAACGTTTCATTAAAGGTGAGTGTGTAATTAATTGGCATGCTCCTGCAATAAACATGACTGACCTCTGCTCCTTGGTAATTCATCCTGCCTAAGTCAGTGCCTTTACGCTCAGTCCATGGAAGCACTCCCAGGAATTAAGTAACTGGCCCAAGGATTGCGGAGGCCAAAGACTGAACAGTGACCCTTATGAGTGCAAGGTGTTACTGGTATAGCTGCCTTCCTGTATAGTCCCAGGGAGAGCTGAGGTTTGTCTATGAACCTTGAAAACACCACAGACCTCATGACTCTGTGTTCACAACAATGCTTACATCTTTGTCCTTTAGCTCTACACGACATGTACCACCTCACCTCTGGAGCTGGCTTTACAGCCACAGGCCCCTTCTTATCAATTTGGGGTTCTTGATTTATTAGTAAACGTTGGAGCAGAGCAAGTTACTTTACCATCTCTTGATTCTTCCTTAGGATGTGGCCAACCCTAGCAGAACACTGCCATGGTCCTGTAACAGTCTAGGCCAGTTTAGCTGCTGACACAGATCGGTGCGAGGTGGGGCTGCAACAACCAGCATTTGAACCGGCTTAGGCTGTTACCAGGCTGCACGCTCACACGGGTCTATCTGTTCCCAGCTCTTCCTGTGCGTTTGCCTTATAGCTATAATGGTGAGCTGTGCCATGACATGCTGATGTGGGTAACGTTTTTCCACCTAACAGCAAGCAGACATGATAAGAGCACTTACGGCAAGCCTGTATCTTCAAAGAAGGCATCAGCTCTGCTTGTAAGCTGATAGTATCTAGGATGCTGGTAATGAGAGTGTTTCCAATATTGCTGGTTTAAAAAAATCTTTGTTGTGGGGGGGAAAAAGTCTGTGCAGAAACAATACAACTAAATGCATCCAGGATCTGGCTGTGTTACAGCTGACAACGAACTGGTCCTCCAAACAACCCTACTCTACCTCATTCCAAGTCAACAGCTAATAGAAAGTTTCTAATAGCTTCTTCTCTTCTGTAAATCCAGGGAACAGTCATCATCATTGCAAATCATGGTGACAGAATTGACATCCCAGCTGGAGCTCTACTGGAGAACAAAATCGTATCTGGCAATCTTCGGATCCTGGACCACTGAGTCAGTGAAAGGGCACAGTCGGTTCTGTAGACTGCTGTGCTAAACCAGCCTCGTAATGGAAGAACCTTTTAAGCATTAGAAATATAAGTACACAGAGGGCCTCTGCTTTGCCATCTTCACAGTACCCTGCAGTATTAATTTAAAATTAATTTCTCTTGCTTATCTTTTTAAGCAGACACATAGCGCAGTGGATGTGCGTAAGTAATGCTTCAGTCCTTAAAGAGATTCTGTAACTAACTCAGTTAATATAACCTTGAAGTGCAATACTGTTTGTCTTGAGGTAAGATGGACAGATCATCTTTGATAAGAAGTTGAGAGGCTTGCCTCTAACACAGTAGTTTTGAATTGCTTGTAACTGCAGAAATCTCTAACACAATAGTTTTGAATTGCTTGTAACTGCAGAAATAAAGCTGTGAAGCAATACACGTGGGACAACACAGTTAGCTACTCACGCAACTTTTTATGAAGTATAAGTAAGTGGCAGGCACAGTTGAAAAACCAAAAGTTTCACTACTGCTAAAACCCTGTATTTTGTGTGCTCACAAACATCCCAACCTATAGCCCTCTTTAATGCAATAGTTTTGAATTGCTTGTAACTGCAGAAATAAAGCTGTGAAGCAATACACGTGGGACAACACAGTTAGCTACTCACGCAACTTTTTATGAAGTATAAGTAAGTGGCAGGCACAGTTGAAAAACCAAAAGTTTCACTACTGCTAAAACCCTGTATTTTGTGTGCTCACAAACATCCCAACCTATAGCCCTCTTTAATGCCCACAAACTACACGTGGGATGTCCTATCCCAATTGTATGTCAAGATACTGGGGTAAGGCTGTCAATACCTCCATTTCTGTATTGTGAGAGAGTGGGAATTGTTGGTGTTCCAAACTCGCCCAAAGAATCTAATACTTGAGAAAAATGCCTCGGTATCCACATGTGGTGGTTGCTTTGTCACATCCCATTTAAGACTGGATCTCCTGTTAATGTCTTAACCCTTGATCTGCCCTCTTTTTTTCAATAAATGGATCATGTTGATTACACCCATCTTCATATTGTCACAGCCATGTATGTTAATTTATCTTCTCTTGAGTCATTTCTAAATTTGTACAGGAATTGAAATCCCTGTCCTGATCACTATTGATTTCTTAATGTTTCTCTTGTATTTACATGCAGACAAATTTATTTTAAAACTTCATATAACACTGGTATATCATTAAAGAAGTTGGTCTTTAAAAACAACTGTGATTTTATAGCTTTATTTTGACTGACAGTTAATGACACCTGTTATGCTAACAGATAAGCATGCCTGTCTGCAGAAGCCATAGGCGCGCACACACACTGCAGACCATTCTGTCATACATAATCGTCACAGGGTTAGGCACTCGGACTATGGTTAGGTAAAGAGGTGTGAGGTGAAATACACAGGCACTTTTACTTAGGTACTGGCAGTGTCCAGTCTTAAAAGGTAGTATTAAAAACTCTTTAATTTCAGTTGCGCCTTCCTTAGTGGTGCAACCTTTTATAAGCAGCCTAAAAACTTTAAAATTCTGTGTCCTCCTCTGTCTTTATACACACTGCTTTGTGTCTTTAGGACTGCAGAGCAATGGGCAAAGTCCTGAAACACTCCCTGTCCTTACCCTACTGACAGTGGCGCTGCCTAGTCTGTGGTTGGGTAGCTGCAGGAAACCATCCCCACACCAGCCTTTGTGCTACCTTCAGATTCCACCGGAAGCCCACTGTTGGGCTGTCACTGCTAACAATTATCATTTCGCAACTCTGTCCTGTAGGTAATGGCTTCAGTTTGTTAGAAAAAGCACATCTTCAGATGGCATTGGAGCCCAGCTGTGAGAAATCCCCTGAAACAGGACCGCTCCCTAACAAATCTGAATCCTATATGCAAGCAATCAAAAGACATTTATTTATATAAAGTTCTGTAAAAAAATAAATTTTAGAACAGCATTGTTTCATAGAGAAAAACATTTTCTACAGAGTTCCAACTGCAAGATTTTTATATTGTACCATCATTAAATAAGGTGGGACACCATGTGAATTTCATTGCACTAGAAGAAATGCAAAGCATCTTTTTAATATAAAGATATACAGAGCATTCTAGACAACTACAGCTGTGTTACAGCTATGTGTTCTTTTGGATTTGGTCCAAAGAAACCTGAGTCTGTTTCCAGAGAGAATGAAAAAACATTGCACAGACAGCTGATCACTTGTTTCTTGCTGAAGGACACTGAAAAGATCGCTCCCTGCAGCTCACTCTGAGTCTAGCTTCCCCGACTATCAATAGTGTCCTTTCTTGGACTCCGGTCTTAAGTATTCACCTCACAGTCGTCACGCTGCTTAGAAGAAAGTCGGTCTGTTGTCGGAGCCAAGTGGCTGCTCCCAGTGGATTATCACCTCTTCTGCTCCCAAATTTCAGCCATGTTTAGGTCTAAGTTCTTAAGGCCTTTCAGAGCTTGAAGGTTTCCAGTGTAAAAAGCTACATCTGAAGTAACCAGTCTGCAGTGAAACATACGAGAAGGTTAGCAGCTGAACAGATCACATCCACCTGGGGTATTCAGAAAAACAACCCGGGTTTGTTTATCAATTGGGCACACTATTACAACAATCCAGGTTCAAATACTACGCCTGAATTAGATGTTTTAAAATATCAGTTCAAAACTCAATGCTACGGCGGGGGGGGGGTTTTTTTGGGGGGGGGGGAAAGGAGTGGGGGGCTGGGTAGTGCACTGGCGAGTTTCCAAGCCCGAGAGCATCGCTTTGGGGTTATAGGGAAGGGAGATCAAGTGACAAGTTCAGAAAACTCAGCAGGAATTGGGCATCTAAAACTTCTATTCTCTTGCTGTAATCCCAGGCTTACCTCGACTTAACCCCCCGATTCCGTTGCAATTTAGAATATTAATTATTGCAACATTAGCTTCTGTACTCTAGAAGGTTAATGTAAAAGTAACCGAACAGCAATATTGTTTGTAACAGTTTATACAGAGTTAAAATCCCTCATACATTGTTGAAACATACCAGGGGATGACAGACCCGTGGTGTTTCCAGTTAGAAAGCAGCAAAATGTAGGCACAAAAGTTGTATTTTATTTTCATAGTAAAAAGTTAACCAGGATTCACAGACCTGGATTTTTATCATTATTACAGAAACAGGCAGTTTAAAATAGGATGAGGATCAGAAAACTAGGTCAGTGAAGACTGCTGGAAGAGCAGCAAGTGAAATCCAGCGTTTGATGTTTCCCTTCTCAAAAGGCCCCGACGACTCAATCCCAGAGAGCTGCGTTCTAAAGTAAGTAACTGCTGCCATAAAAGAAACAAACTCTGGGCATTACTGTTTCCAGCTGCAGATGAGAGACCCTTCTGACAGTAAGGATGACTGTGCTGGGAAATACACCACCAGTATGTCACCAGGAACACCTGCCCCTCCTGCCAAAAAGGGATCCATTTACACCATCCGACTACAAGCATCAAACAAAAACCAAAAGAGCAGGATGAAGACAGCACACACACTGTTTAGGACTAGAAACCCAAGTGCGAAACGCTCCCGAACACACCCTGGGTGCTCTCATTTCAGCTGGGGCTGCTGTGGCCTCACTCCTGTTCAGTAAGCTTGTTGGCTTACAAATGCCTTAGCAAGTACCAAAGGCAACTGGATGTTACCAAGCACAGAAAACCAGGCCAGATAAACTCTTTCACAGAGTACAAGGATGAATAAGCTTAAGCAGGACAAGTAAGAATAAATTGGACGGAAACAAAACTCTTCTCCATTCCAGCAACATTTGAAACATTTATAAACTTCCTTCTCTGGCTTCTTCAGCCCAAGACAATGCTTTCTTGCATGTGGGTAGGCCGACTGAATTTCGCTCCTACCACACTGCAAATAAACACCCCGAGGTCATTAAGAACCATTATAGAACCCACTGTTTCAGGGGACAATCTGACTTACAATAGGATTCAGCCTGCAAGAGACTGTACGCTTTCCCGGGAGGCGTGGGACGCCAGGCACAGCCAGGCACACCCTCTCAGGAGAGGTACCACTGACCCGTTTTGGTGATGGAGGGTTGGGCTGGGGCAGGAAAGGGGAAAAGCTCTGCGAGCATAATCTCTGTTTCAAATCTAGTTCTGCTGAAAAAACAGTTTCTCTACAGAAGCTGCCCATTGCACAGATGAAATCACTTTTTCCTATTTTTACTTTGCTAGCACCATGAGTCATCACCCACGTTTCAAAACTGCTTCAGGAATCATGCAATTCTTGCGAACTAAACTGTGGCTACTGCTGACACACAAAAGGAGAAAATGCAATCCATAAACCGAGGAAACCTACAGCAGGTTTCCAGTAGGACAATGCCCAGCTCCCAACCTATTACCAAGCTGACTGCATTCCTAGTTACCTGTGGAAAGGCACAATTCATGTCCTTTACTGTAAGAAAGCTCCAAATAGGACGTACTCAAACATGGAGTGTGGCTGCATTCTGCAATCACAACTTTCTTGCAGAAGACAAAGCCTGCTTATTTAAATTAAGCAGTAAAAAAAAAAAAAGCCCAAACGTACCCATTTAGAGGTCCTCCATCATTGACTACGTTTAGGTGGGCCAGCTGCCTCTTCAGGTGAAGTTTGTAGCTTGCGTTAATTCGTAAAAACAACATCTAGAAGAAACCACAGAACCAGAGTAAGGAACCATCCCCATGCTTGCATCACTGCCTACAGTGAGGAAATACATTGCAAACACCTTAAACCACTAACTTTCGGTTTTGTTTTTTGCAATTCATGTGACTTTCCCTTCTGCCAGTCCTTTGGCCTCTTAATCTTTCTGGCCATATACAGTTTATAACACACAGGACAGTACGCACCCTCACTTATTTGTTACGTGTTGCACTTAGAGGACACGTTCTTTGGAGCACGAATTTTTCTTCCCTGTTGTCTGAAGTATCTAGCAATTAAGGCTAAAAGATAACAAATCTCTTTCCTGTACTATAACCACTTAAAGTCTTTTTTCCAAGAGAAAGCGTGAAAAACAGTTTGAAGGGACCATTTGATTTGGTGCAAAAGAGAAACTACAACTTAGTGCATTCAGTGACTTTATCAGTCCTTCCTGTCCTTAGATTTACAACTCTGCAGTAGCAAGAACTGCAGCAAAATACTGAAAAAGCACATCTGGTACAACATGGCTGCATAATACATCTAGGGACCTTAAGAAGCCACTAAGTTTGAGCAGCGTTACAGAAGAATTCCCTAAAAGGGCTGTACTCAAGCCCCAAAGTGTTGCCATTTGTGTAGAATTTCAGCACTAATTCCTGAAGTTCCACCTCTCTAGACATTAAAATGCAGCTCAAAATGCTGGAATCAGTTCTTTTT